CAACATGAATAAACATGACGATACCTCCTGCCTACCAGACATCTGGAAACCAGCCCTGGTAAACAAATGAGCCCCACCCACCACCCAGGCCGTTACAACATAATTAGTGAAGATAAAACAAGAAATTAAGCAAATTTGGCACCAGTTCTTAATACTCATATAATAGGTCTCAGCTCTGCCTGACTGAGTGTAGTTGGTTCTACCCACAGTAGAATCAGTGGAGACACTGTTCTGCCACCTTTTGTTCCTCTGTAGCTTGAGGAGGACAATAAAGCAGGCTGGTCTCATTATAATAGCATAATTTGTACAACTATTAATATATTCAGCAATATTTTTTACAAAAGAATAGGAATCCAAATGACAAAGTCAGTCTTCTTGCTTTACAAAAACACTGTTCTTGTCCCAAACAGAATACCAGCTTGATCAATACCAAGAAGAAGCTGGAAACAGAAATTTCACAAATCCAGACTGAAATGGAGGAATCTATTCAGGAGGCACGCAATGCAGAAGACAAGGCCAAGAAAGCCATCACAGATGTGAGTTGAAACACTTTTCCTTTAAAACTGTTTTAAATTGGTCTGAAAGTTTTTCTGAATGGTAGTTATCTCTCTGTAAATAGGCAGCTATGATGGCAGAAGAACTGAAGAAGGAACAAGACACCAGCGCCCATTTGGAGAGGATGAAGAAAAATCTAGAGCAGAGTGTGAAGGATCTGCAGCACCGTCTTGATGAGGCAGAACAGCTGGCATTGAAGGGTGGCAAGAAGCAGCTCCAAAAACTGGAGCATAGAGTATGTATACCTTGTATGCATCTTCATGCATTTCTAACCATATAATAAAGCTTACTGGTGGACGGGCTAAATGTTTATTTTTATTTCAGGTGCGTGAATTGGAAGCTGAGGTTGAGAATGAACAGAAGCGTAGCGCTGATGCCATCAAAGGTGTTCGTAAATATGAGAGACGAGTGAAGGAGCTGACTTACCAGGTGAGGAAAGAGGGTTTTTGATACCTTTGAAGGATCATCAGTATTCATATTTATCTATCTATATTCTATATTATCTCCATATATCTCTATCTCTCTTTCTTCTTTCTCTCTGTCTCTATCTCTATGAATATGTATGATCTATCATCTATCCATCCATCCATCCATCCATCCTTCCATCCATCCATTTTTTTCTCATAATTTTATGTCTTTTTCTACTTTGTTCAGTCTGAGGAAGACAGGAAGAATGTTCTGAGACTCCAAGATTTGGTGGACAAATTGCAAATGAAGGTGAAATCATATAAGAGGCAATCTGAGGAAGCTGTAAGTATTTTTCTGAAGTTGGGGTTGCTTGAACTAGAATTGTGGAAGAGAATACTAGAGAAAGAGTAAAAGTTATTAGAAACCAAATTAACCTGCATATGGCACAATGAATTGAGGGGCATAAAGCACAGTGCTAATTATGACTGATGCAAGAAGGGGATGTGGGAGGCTCTGATGCAAGACTGATGCAAGAAGGATTGTGTGAGAGGCCTTCAGGGGATGTCAGAGGCCTGGGAGGCCTGGTGCTTGCACTAATACCATAGCTTTTGTGATTGCGAAGTTATTAAATAGCTAATTTTTATATGAAATTATCAATTCATATAAATTATTTAAAATGTTACACACACACACACACTATTTATATTGTATTTTAAGTACTAATTTTATATGAACATGCATGCTTGTCACTAAATGCTAAGGATATTAATTCCACTCAGGGTGAACTATATTCCTACCATGGTTCCTGGAGTATACAGCTGAGCTCTAAGGGAAAGACTGATGATCTGAAATGTCACTCAGGATCCATTTGGGTCATTTGTCTTGACCCTGCCTCCTGACAGTTGAGGTAGCAATTTGGTAGTTTATACTGCCATCTCCTCACTACTAGGACAGCAGTTATTAAACTGACACAATTACCTTTCTTCCCAACATTGACTCCTAAGTAAATAATTACAAATTGCTCCATTAAACCAAAATATGTATAAATTATGGCATTGGGAGTAATCTCCTGTTATAGGGAATGCCTAGCTTGGCATCTTCTCCTTAATCTTCTCCTTAATGGTGTGCATGTGAGAAAGGGCTCTCAATGCATGCATGGTAATTTAAAAAAATGAAAAATAAGTAATCATAGACTTATAAGGTTGAAAGGGAGATGGGATGTCTTCTAATTATTGCATTTACCAGTATTTACAGTAGCTACTTCCTGATAGGCAGTAAGAATTCAATTTGTAATTCCAGTATATCTTTAATGCTAATAAAATCCATGTAACACTATAATTAGGCAAAGATTATTAAATTCCGAAGAACCATTTTTTTAAACTTTTATTTAACTCCATATAAAAACATATTCTAAAAATAAAGCTAAGCAGGAAAATATTTTCCATCTTTTTAAATCCTTTGTTTTCCAACACTTAATTTTTCCTTTACCTTTAAAATAGTCTATTATTGAGGAAAAATTAAAACATCTACTTGCATTTTTGGATTGGTAGCTTTATGAACTTTTCATCCTGAAGCATGTACAGTGAGGAAAAAATGGGGTGCAAGGAAACAATTTCCTGCTGCTATTTTGCCAGAAACAGAAGAAAAAGATTCACTTCTGGATTTGGAAAAAAATATATGGATGTGACACAAATATAATCCTTTACATTTCCTTTCTCTTTAAAAAAAAAAACATACTATCTAAATTTTTGCCAGTGTTTTCAATAAATGGAAAATAATAATAATTAATTTCAATCATATTTTTAGGAGGAACAATCCAATGTGAACCTTTCCAAATTCCGCAAGATTCAGCATGAGCTGGAAGAAGCTGAGGAACGGGCTGACATTGCTGAGTCCCAGGTGAACAAACTCAGGGTGAAGACCCGAGAAGTGCATAAGAAGGTGGTTGTAAGTGAAGAATAAACTCACCTGGAAATGGCAAAGTGACCGAAGAGAAGCGCAAAATGTGAAGCTCTTTGTCACTCCCTGTAATTACTGTTTATTTTGCCTCAATTTGTAGAAAATNGGAAGCTTCCCAGAAGGAGTCTCGGTCTCTGAGCACAGAGCTCTTCAAGATGAAGAACGCATATGAGGAATCCTTGGATCACCTGGAAACTCTGAGGCGCGAGAACAAGAACCTCCAGCGTAAGCTGTTTTTCTTCTAGTCATGGATAGAACTGTGAAGCTATTTACTGGGAGAGCTAAGAAAAGAAATCAGATGATGCAGAACTGCCTTTGAGTTCTTTTGTTGTTTGAGGCAATTAATATACCTCACTTGGGATAACCACGGATGGTCATATTATTTTAGCACCCAATGCAGAAAATCCCTTCAAGTGTTTTTCTTCTCTATAGTAGTAAAAAAAAAGATAGTAGCAAAAGCAACTAGCTGATGTTTCACAATATTGAAATACACATATCCTATATGGTTGAAACATCTTCACACTGTCCTTTAACTCAAGCCTGGAATAACATGCACATGTACTATTCTTATGTACTGTATGATCCTGGTTGATGTGGCAAAATGCAAAGTATTTTTTTTGTCTTGTTTAACTTATAAAACTCTTTGATAATTAGTTCTTATAAGAAAGCAAATATCAATTTTGCTTAATGCCAATGGTCTAACAATGCAGAACATTTCAAATATTAATCACATATTGAAGAGCAAGGATGAACGATGAAAATTGCCAATGCTGCCCATATTTTCTTATTTATTTGTTTTTTATCTTGTGTAAAATCAACAGAGGAAATATCTGACCTAACGGAACAGATTGCTGAGGGAGGAAAGGCCATCCATGAACTAGAGAAAGTGAAGAAGCAGATTGAACAGGAGAAGGGTGAACTCCAGGCTTCTTTAGAAGAGGCTGAGGTAATCATGTCATTATTAGTAGAAAAGCAAGTAATGTTTTATATAATTAAGCAGGCTACTTAAAAGACTGTAAGAAAAAAGGTGGGCACTTACCAGATCAACACACAATCCCATTTTCCCTAATAGTTTGTTGACCAGCAGGAAGTCTAAATCAGATCGTGAAAGGCCTTTGCAGTTCTTGGCCTCCAGAAAATTCTATGTGGTATCATACTGACTCCCAATCTGAAGACACCATGACAAGCAGACAGTAATCGGTCTATTATTACAGTGTTTCATAGCATGCATTCATATGCTAATTAATGTTTTCTAAGATTAAAAATTTCATTTTTATATTTCATTTTTTTT